GCTCGGTTCAAGATCCAGCACCTCATAGCAAGCAGATTGGAAATATTCACACTTGCTAACGTCAACAATTGCCAGTCTGGCCTTGCGGTAAGTCTTGCATCATTGCCCTCCCTCTACCCAAATTCTCCTTCCAGTTGTTCTGATATTCACTGAGACTACAGCCTCTCTGAGCAATTTACTACTGCCTTGCTATGTTTCATTAGTTATTGAATAACTGATTTTCTCCTATTTTAGTGGGACCCTTAACATATTTCAAATCACACTGAGATTTATTCTGAGGTAAGAACTTTCCTATTAGCATGACATCCCAAAATTTCTTTGCTTCTAGTCCCATTCTCCCCAATCCCCAAATGTCTTTTTAGTTCTAGTATCCAAACTCCTTAGCAAGGTATTTTCCCTTTTTCTGTTCTGTTTTATCCTAATATTTAAATTTTGTAATTTCCCTTTCTAATATCAAATATCTATATAACGGGATTTTTTGGTTTCACACTAACAGCATGAGGAAATAGCTTTGGGATACGATTTATGTAAGTTCACATTCCTATTTCAAAACCTACCAGATGTATGATATTGAACATATTATTTAAACTTTCTTTGCTTTCATCTTCTCACCCATTAATTGGGTTGATCAATAGCTACTATACCTGATTGTTGTGAGGATTAAATGAAAAACTAAATGTAAAATTGTTTACACATTTCCAGCTCATAGTAGGTGCTCTCTTCAAAGAATGCTGAATTTGATTGTCATATTGTTATGGACTGCATTGTGTCCCTCCCCCCAATACTTCAGGATGTGACTTTATTTGGAGATAGGGCTTTTAAGAGGTAATTAAGTTAAAATGAGGCCGTTAGGATTGGCCTTAATTCAATATGACTGATGTCTTTATAAGAAGAGGAAATTTGGACACACAAAGATACCAGGAATGTGCAGAGAGGAAAGACCATATAAGAACACAGTAAGAAAGATGTCATATACAAGCCAAAGAGAGAGCCCTCAGAATAAGCCAAACCTGCTGACACTTTGATCTTGGACTTCCAGTCTTCTGCCTGTGAGAAAATTAGTTTCTGTTGTTTAAGCCACCTGGTCTGTAGTACTTTGTTATGGCAGTCGTGGCAAACTAATACACATATATTCAATATTTCAGAAGAATTAACGTTTACTGTTTTCCTATTCCAATTCCTATTTAATCCTCTAATTAGTAATTGGGCAGTGATTAAGAGTATAATCTTAGAAGTTAGATAGCCTTGAATTTGAAGACCGGGTTATCCACCTAGGTGACTTTGAATGAATTTCTCATATGTTTCAGAGTCTCAAATTTCCTTACCTATAAAATGAAACAACACCTGTCTCATAGAGTTATAATAAGGATCAAATTAAAAGAGATGTTTATAAATTTCAGAGTATAGTATCTGAAAGATAGGTGCTTAGTTACTGGTAGAACTAATTATCTTTATGTACAAAGATAAATGTATAAAACCATTTACATGTGTTTTGTCAATCTGGCTTAGTTTTCTCTAAGCTTAATCAGTTTAGCAAATCTTCTCTGTGTGAAGTGCCATACATATACATACTTTCGACAATTACTTAATGATTTTGAGGATGTGGAAAATCAGCTTCTATTAGCTTCATTGTTGGCTTGAATCCAAGATCACAAACCCTCAAAGTGAGTTGTAATATATTTTTAACATATATTCTAAAAATCCTTCCAGTGTATTAGATTTATTTAAATGATTTGATGATTTTGCTCCAAGGACCAAGCTTGGACTATTTTTCTTTTGTGCAGTCTTCATACTTGCCGTTTTAGGAAGATATTATGGTTTATCAGAAACTCCTCATAATGAATTATTCTAGGTTGTAGTAGAATAAACAAAGTTCTTTTTTATTATTATCTGGACCAATTCTAAAGTTGTCTCATCATTTTTTATGGAATATTTCATGGTCTGGTGTCATTCCCTTTATCATATGATTTATAGGATAACATCTTATTTCTCTTTAATTAATTAAGGATGGAATTTTCTTCCATAGCTATGTCATTGTGCTTCTCTCATCCCATAAAATTTTCAAGCTATAATTGTTTGTGATGTCTTCTCACATACATAATACACTTTTGCTCATTTCTATCCCTTGCTCATATTTTGTGAATTGGCATTACCATATCTTCTGTCCACAGTTTCCCACTCTATGAGATTGCAATTATGTTAAAATTTTACTTACTGTCATTTATTTAAATTAATATTTACTGGGCACTTACTATGTTCAAAGCACTGTGCTATCTACTGTGAAAGAACAAAGATATTTAAAATAATCCCAAAGAGTCCACAATCTCAGCATTCTAGTGATATTTTTTTAGGCTTCTAATATTTGTTAGCGCTGTGAATTGTGTAAGACTGTTGAATCACAGACTTGTACCTCTGAAACAAATAATACATTGTATGTTTTTTTCTCTTTAAATTTTTTATTGTTATGTTAATCACCATACATTACATCATTAGTTTTTGATGTAGTGTTCCATGATTCATTGTTTGTGCATAATACCCAGTGCTCCATGCAGAACGTGCCCTCTTTAATACCCATCACCAAGCTAACCCAACCCCCCACCCCCCTCCCCTCTAATAATACATTGTATGTTAAAAAAAAAAAAAAGAAGATAGCAGGAAGGGAAAAAGGAAATTGGGGGGGGAGATGAACCATGAGAGACTATGGACTCTGAGAAACAAACTGAGGGTTCTAGAGGGGAGGGGGGTGGGGGGATGGGTTAGCCCAGTGATGGGTATTAAAGAAGGCACATACTGCATGGAGCACTGGGTGTTATACGCAAACAATGAATCATGGAACGCTACATCAAAAACTAATGATGTAATGTATGGTGATTAACATACCATAATAAAAAAAAAGAAACACATATATTTTGACTTGGCTTTTCTTTCACTTCCCATTCCTATTTGTTGTCCCATCTGAAGGAGTATCTACTCTGTCACCTCTTTTTAACTCAAGGAGGCCATTGAATTCCCTGTTGGCTCTTAAAACAGAGTCTTTGTCAATCTCTTTTATGTCTTTTGTTCTCAGTTTCTCCCCAGTTTTTAGAATAAAACCACCACCTAGTTGCTAAGATAGTACAGTGTTAGTGACAAGTGGTTTATGGGGTCTTCTTGTAAACATTACATCTCCTTTTGCTGAATCAGGATATCTTCTTCACTCTCATCAAAAGACCAAACCATCACTTGCTGTAGGCTTATTTTCATTTGTTTGAAATTTAAAGAGTTGTCAATAGACTTTCTGATGAAGGGATGGAGGGCATCTAAATCCATTATTTTAGACAATAATGCTACTTCTCAAAGAGTTAAAGAAAAAGAGAAGAGCAAACTCTTTAGCCTTAATAGGCACCTATGCTTGGAGGTGAAATGGGCCAGGAAGAAAAGAAGAAAAAAGTAGAAAAAGAGAGTAAAGGCAAAGGTACATATTATTAGGAATCCAATATAGAATTAGGAACCCTACCAAGATCTAGTTTTCATCAGACATGGCCTTTGTTTCCACCCTTATTTTTACCCCTCCCAAATAGGGTAGGATATAATTGGGTATCATCTCTTAAATCTTTTACTAATAACCATTAACAAACCAACTGTTCAAAATCCTTTAAGTGCCTCTTATAGGTGAAACATTGTGTTAGGTGCTAGACAAGATAGAAGAAATATATAATTCCATGCCTGCCTTCAAAAGTGTTATTGTCTAGCTGTGGCAATTGGGGGTCTTTGAAAGGTTTCAAAAAGAGTAAAATAGACATTAAGTACTGAAAAATTCAAAAGGAGAAGGTGAGCATTGATCTGAGGATCTGAAAAACTGGTCTCTAATCCGTCTCTATTTCCTCGCTATGTGACCTTGGACAAATCATTTCTTTCAGGTCTTTCCTTTCATCCCATCCTCTTCCTCCCCCAGAAAAAAAAAAAAAAAAGAATTCCATCCTAGAAGATCTCTAAAATGTACGACTATATGAGATGATTACTAATGAGCTCTTTTGTGTTGCCCAGATTGAAGTCTAAAGGTAGCTATGGCCCCCTGAGCTCCTCTCTTCATTTTCACAGACATAGGTATCAAGGTCTAAATTTTCCACAGTTCAGTATCAAGTCAGAGCACAGAACCAAATTTTCCCATCCTGATGCTGTTACGTTTTCTAATCCTGCACCAAATAGTGCATCTTTCAAAATGATTATTGTGACTCATAGAAAAAGCTTAAAATATATTACTGACACGGTTTACTTAGAGAAATGTTTCTTTAAAAAAATTGTTTATGTGAAAATAGGGGGAAGGGGTAATTCTACGTATTAGAGGGAACAAGGTAAGCAATTGATTCCTTAGGATCTGAAAGGCTAAATATTCCAAAAGTCTACTGAAATACAATTCTCTCTAGCAGAGGTTAAGCAATTATGCAAGTGGCAGGACAGTGAGGGAAGCCCAACAGATGCACCTGGAGAGCGAGTAGAGGTGATAAATTACAAAATCACCTGCCCAGTTCACGGTATCGTCCAGGGTCAGACCTAGGGAAACCCTTCCAGCAGCCTCGGACTCAGGGCGCCCAAGTTTGCACGCTTCCACGCATTCTATTGATTCACACTTCCGTCCTTCAACAGGTAGCGCCAATTACAGCCCCCAAAACACGGCCCCCCAGCATACTGGCCAGTCTCGCCGTCAATCAAATACTACCCCTACCTTTCTAAATTCTCCCCTCCCCCTTTCATTGCCTTTTCCTTCGGCCTATCCCCAAATTTCTTCCGCGCCTCGCGACCACGGAACTTGGCCCTATGGAGCCTAGGATTGGAGCCGAGGCTACTCCCGCCCTTTGACGTCCCGGAGCTCTCCGCCCCTTTCTCCGGCGCCGCGCGGCCCGAAGCGGAGGGGGCGGGGCGAACTAGGGGGCGTTTCAGGGGGCGGGGCTTGCATCCCACGGCGGGAGGGCGGAGCCTTCCTTCGAGCCTGCCTGCCTGGTTAGGACCTCGGAGAGCGCCGGGTGCCACGACCAGAGGGAAGGGAGAAGCGGCGGCAGTCGGGCGGGAGTGACGCCTGCGAGCCAGCCTCCCTCCGCACCTTCAGCTTCTCGGGCTGGCTGGCAGCTAGTGGCGGCCGAGGAAGGTGCCTAAGTCGGGAGTCAGATAGTCATCCCTCTGGGACGCCGCCGCCGCCGTCTAGCCGCGGCTCCCTCACACCTGTGTGTGTGTTCATGAGCGTGAGCGCCCGCGTGCCAATTTCTGTGTGAGGGTTGCGTGTGCTCCGGCTGGGCGCGCTAATGTCTGTGTGAGGGTGTTTGTGTGTGCTAGGTGCCTAGGCGCTCGGCCCGGGGAGGCACCGCGGGAGCGGCGGCTCCGCGCGCCCAGCAGGCTGAGGCGGGACTCGGGCCGCAGCTGTCGTCGCCACTTCCTCACGTCCCCCAAGAGCCGCCGCGGTGCTGCGGGGAGAGCGGACGGGCGGGCGAGTGCGGCGGCGGCTGCGGGCAGAGCGGGGTGGGGGGTGAGGGGGTGGGTGGAGGGTGGGAGAAGAGGGAGGAGGGCTGGAGACGCTGGGAGGGAGAAGCGGAGGCAGCCGGCGCCGCCGCTCGCCCCTCCCGTCGGCTGTTGCTGTTGGGTCACCCGCAGATGTTTTGGGGTCCGGCTGTTGGGGGTGGGGAATGGAAAAAGGCCTACCCCTCATTACCTACTGAAAAAAAAGGGAGCATTGATGATGGGGGGAGAGCCCAGATGGTGGTAGTAGAGTAAATACCGGCTCTCCCACCGCACAACCCCAACATCGTTTTTCTGAAAATATTCTGAGCTGAACCTTTAGAAGGAAAGCCCGCCCTTAAGAGAGAGAGTCTTGGTCTGTTGGACTCCGGTCTGATTGTATAATAATAATAATGATGATATAATGCTAATGACGATGATGACACTGCCTTTTATTTTTACCCCAGTGCTGATAAAGCGTAGCTACAGCTGGGGATAAAGCCCTTGAAAATTTGATGTATGAGGAGGAAATACTGTTGCTTTTAGAGTTATATTTTATTATTTCTTCATAAAGGATGTTCTTTTTTTGGACTAAAATTTGACAAAATGAAGTATGACTTTCTCTTTTTTTTGTCATTTATAGCCGATGCTCGTAAAATGAGGACTGGCTACTTACTGCCTTGAGTAATGAAAAGCTAAACAGTTTTATCCAGGTATAAGCTCATGTGTTAAGTCACCCTTTCCTTTGAATTTCTCAACAGTTTTTTAAAAATGAAGAAGTTTAATTTCCGAAAAGTTTTGGATGGCTTAACTGCCTCCTCCCCTGGCAGTGGTAGCAGCAGTGGCAGTAACAGTGGTGGTGGGGCTGCAAGTGGTTCCATACATCCAGGAGGGACTGCAGGGGTTCTCAAAGAGGAGATTCAGGAAACCCTGACTTCAGAGTATTTCCAGATTTGCAAGGTAAGTTCTGAATTGGCTTAAAGCCTATTATTTCTTTATTTTACTGTTGTGAGGAAAGAAGAATTAACAACAGCAACACCCACACTAGGGACTGGAAATTGTTGAGATGCCAGCATTAGACAGTCCTGGGCAGACAACTCTATAGATAGATGTTTGAATTAATAAAGATATTCTAGGCATTGATTTCAACATCAATTTAAGAAGCTATGGTAGTTTAAAATGGAAATAAGCAAACATAGAAGGTAGGATTTGCAAGACAATGTTAAGGTCCAAATTGTGGACAAAATTTTTAATGTAATATTTATGTATAAGTAGAAAACTGAAGGAAAAAATCATTCTGGTTAATTCCTTGTTGACATTCAGTGAAACTAATTATTATTTTATGTCACTGTGCAGTATAAAATGATTAAACCTATTAAGATGTTGCTACAAGTAAATAGATAATAGCTAAAGGAATACATCCATTTTAAAAGATCTAATGGTATTGTTTTACATTCATTGTTTAAAATTCTGTAGAAAAACACCCCCAGACTCTTAATAAAAAAATGACACGGATTTAATTCTCGTAAGAACTTAAGAAATAGCCTGTTTTCTGGTTTAGTGAGGAAACATTTCAGGTAATTATGCTTTAATGTTCAACTTCTAATGAATAAGCAAAAGAAAGAGTTTCTGATGGGGAGAGGTGAGAATTTACAAAACAAATGTTTTGTTAATATATAGATATTGTTATATTTTTCTGACATAGTTTATAATTTTTATTGTTTCTTTTTTGGGGGGGTAGCCTAGGAATGTGTTTTTGACCTACCATGTACAATTTATAAAGCTACTAAGTCATTCATATGATACAGATTGAATATAGTTTTAAAATATTTGAATACATAAGAACAAATCATAAATTTCTGAAATCACAGAAATTATTAAATTTTTGGTACTTCAAAAGAATTGTTTTGAAATTATTAAAATTATTTTTGTAGTAAATAACTTCTATATAATGAGATAAGTTTCAATTATTGTCTTAGTCTCCAGTCCCAGTAAGGTCATTATAAAACATTAAATCTGTTTATGCAAAAGTGAGTTTATTTAGAATTAGGTCAGATTAAAAGATATAATTCTACCCCTGTGAGGTTTGTATGCATAAAATTTTATATACAAAGTTGTATATAATTTCATTCTCAATTTGAAATAATAGATATTTTGTCAGATTAGGGGCTTAATATTGGTCATGAGACAAATATGTAAAAGGATCTTAGGGGTCAAATTTGAACTGCTAGTCAGGGGAATAATGCCCTGATTATCTAATCTTTGACATATTACTGTTTCCATTCCAAGATTCTGAAAAAATTTCCAAATTCTCAGTTGATAAATGTGAGGCAGGAGAGTTTTTGTCAAGATAAAATTGATATAAAAAAGACTTCTGAAACAGAGTGGCATTGGACTGTTGAGGTTTTGAACCTGGTAGAGAAGGTTTTAATTTAAAAATTTCAGGGGAAATGGGTGAATGCAAGAGAGGAAAATGGGATATATAGTTATCTTCCCATTTATTGAGACAGGAAATAGACATGAAAAGTGCCAGAAGTTAAATATGTATTAATTCAAAAACATATGGCATGGTAGGAAGAACACTGGCCTAGGAATCAGATTGTATTTTATTTAAAGTTCTGTCACTTGCCAGCCATGTATCTCGGGCAAGCCTTTTATCTGCCTTGAACCTTGATTTTCCCATCTGTAGTATGGTAATAAGTATTTCTGCTCTTCTGACTTAAAGTTATTGGGAAGATCAAACAAGACAATTAGGTGAAGGCGATGTATAAATTGGAAAAGGCAATAAATTGTTTATTTTTATATTCTTAAAGTTTTAAAAATCAACTTGTTCTTGGTGGAATGACTACAAGCAGTGGGCTATAGTAATATAGGTAACAAAATTATACTTTCAAAGAAATTAGAAGGATAGATAGCTATATAAGTGGAACACTAATAGTATTGAACTGTTACTAAATGGGGAAAGTATTATGGCATCTTTGGATAGCAATGTAGTTAATTTTAAAAAGTAATTTTATGATTGTACTTTAGGTTACCTGGACTATAATAAAATATATAAAAATGGATTAAGGATGTTTCAAAATTAGAACTGTTACTAAAATGGGGACTTCATTTGGACTCACTGATTAAATGTGCAAAGAACATTCTATTCTGAGTACTAAGCAGTTGGCACCTTTTGGGTACTTGTACCTTTTCCACATGGCCAAAATTAAAGTACAAATCTGTAATCTTCTCTTTTGAAAACCATCCTCCTCTTTATTTTCTGATCGGCCATCAAATCCTATCTATTCCATTTCCTTAGTATTTCTGAAATTTATTCCCTTTTTGCCATCTCTAGTACCTGTCCATTCTATCGTATTTTCTTTTTTTTTTTAAAGATTTTATTTATTTATTTATTTGAGAGAGAGAATGAGAGAGAGAGAGAGAGCACATGAGAGGAGGGAGGGTCAGAGGGAGAAGCAGACTCCCTGCTGAGCAGGGAGCCCGATGCGGGACTCAATCCTGGAACTCCAGGATCATGACCTGAGCCCAAGGCAGGCGCTTAACCAACTGAGCCACCCAGGCGCCCTCGTATTTTCTTGATTAGTCACTTGAATCACTTCCTACCTGATCTTCTTACCTCTTGTTTTACCCTATTTCAGTTGATTTTGTTATGTTATAATAATGGTTATTTCTGAACTATAATGTTCATTATGTCATTTCCCTGCTAAAAATTCTGTGTTGGTTTCCCTAGAGCAGTGATGCTCTATAAACAAAAGTCTAATGTGAAACCCTGTAAATAACATCTATTAAAACAAATGTACTTTATTGGCATACATTTAAAAAATAAATTATAATAAGTTATACAGCTATTACAAAAAACTTGTTTTTTTATATTTGGTTTTTGTTGTATAATATTATCTCTGGCAGGTAGTAGGACTTTTTCTGGCCTTAAAAAAGTAAAAGTATAAAGCTACAACCTTTATAATCAGTGACAAATGTATAAGAAGTTCAAAAACACAGAAATGGTAGAAGAAACTTTGGTTCAAGGTTAGCAAAAAAGTTAATACATTGGTTTACTGCAATCTCAGTTCAGTATGTATACATTTGAATGCCCATTTGTTCAGATATTTGTGAAATACAAGAAGTGCCTTTTCTGAACTTGAATTCTATGAAACGCAATTTGAAACTACTGCTCTATACAATAAATGTCAAACTGCTTAACTTGATCTATATATAGTTCCCTTTAGATGGGATTCCTGTTTACCTTTCCATCCTCATTTCTGTGATTTCCTAAGCATATTGCATTACCTGAAAGCACTGTATTTTCATATCTCAATGCCTTTTCTCAATATATTGCTTCTAATCACAATATCCTTTCCAGCTTTAGTAAAATTGGAGAATTCCCAGTTACTTTTTTTTTTTTAAGATTTATTTAGTTATTTGAGAGAGAGATAGGGCAAAGGGCACGGGGGCTGGGGAGGGAGAGGGAGAGAAACCTCAAGCAGATTCCCTGCTGAATGGAGCCCAAGGAGGGACTCGATCCCAGGACCCTGAGACCATGACCTGAGCTGAAATCAAGAGTTGGACGCTTAACTGACTATGCTACCCAGGTGCCCCCTCCGCAGTTACTTTTTATCTCATAGTAAAATACTACTTCCATGAAACCAACTCTGCCCACTGCCTTCCTCTTTTCCTGCCCAAAGCAGAATTAGTTTTTTCCCCTTCTTCTGTTTTCCTATAGCACCTGGCATGTTCCTATAGAGTTAAGTTAGCACCTTATTGTGATTAGAAAATTTATTTTTCTGTCACTATTGTTATATTGTCATCAATGAAACAATATATACATGGTTGGTTGATTAATTGAAATGAGATTAAAGCAGAAAGTTATTAATAAATATATAGGTCTTAAACATTTTATTTTAAGTGAAAATATGTAAATATACATCAATTTACAAATCACTTGTTAAATGAACAAGATTTTTTTGTTGAGTGTTGGTTCTATAACTGGAGTTCTGTGTGTACTTTTCTTCCACAAACCATCCCAAATTCGTTATGGATGGTTTTTTGGTTTTAATTTATTTAAAGTAGAATAAGAACTTATATGCTTTTGAAGCAGGTGACACTTAGTTTATACATATGATGAATATATAGTTGACCCTTGAACAAGGTGGGGTTAGGGGTACAAACCCCCACATGATCAAATATCTCTATATATTCGACTCCCCAAAAGCTTAACTCCCTGAAAACTTTGACTCCTCCAAAACTTAACTATAAATAATCTACTGTTGACTGGAAGTCTTACTGATAACATAAACAGCGGATTAACCCATAGTTCGTATTTTATATATATTATATACTGTATTCGTACAATAAAGTAAGCTAGAGAAAAGAAAATGTTATTAAGAAAATCATAAGAAGAAATACATTTATAGTACTATACTATATTTATCGAAAAAAATTCCAAGCATCAGTGGACTCATGCAGTTCATATCCATGTTCAAGTGTTAATAATAGATATATATATATATATATATATATATAAAGTATAGATATATACACACATATATATCAAAAGTATAGATGTAGGTATATATACTTATCTATACACAAGATATATGCGTGTGTGTGTGTGTATATATACATATATATAAAATCTAGATAAATAGATACATATTCATCCCTATAGTTAACTGACCTACACCTAATTAGGCCAGAGTAGGAGAGTATAAGTATTCTAGTTAGAGTTTACTAGTATCAAGTATTCAGGGAATCATTAATATCAATCTATGTTTTACAAAGAGAATGGGAAGTTTTTGTTAATCTAGCGAGGTGGTTAATTTAAAGGTAGAGATCTTCATCTGTAAGATCTCCCATTTGACCTTCATAACAGTCCTGTAAAGAAGGCAAAGAAAGTGTAAATATTTTTATTTTACTAATAAGACATCTGAAGCCAGAGAATTTAAGTGGTATCCTTAGGT